ATTATTTCTTGGATTTTTTAAAGAAGTAACAATTATAATGTCTGGATTTACTTATTCTACTATTTCTACAGTTATACTATTATATAATTGTCTTATTGATCATATAGAAGATACTATTGATAATATAAAAATAATAAATTTAATTATTATAGTTGCTAACAAATGTAAAGATAAATTATTAACATATTATAACAAAACAAATGATATTTATTTATTTGCAACAATTTTAATCCAAGATTAAAAATACAATATTATAATTGGATAATTTACTTATTAATAATATTTAGCAAAAGTTAATATATATTTTATTATTTTATTATTATTTAATTATATAAATAATAATTATACTAATATTAATTTTTTTGTAGTTTTTTGAATCATTATAATATACATTATGCTTTAAATAATGAAACAATTAATACATCAAATAAAGATATTGAAAAATCTATTCTTTTATGTTTATTTAAAAATAGTAATACAAAATGTATAAATGAAGCAAAAGGATATATTTCTTTTCCTAATTTAGGTGAAAAAATAGATCAACTTGAATAGTGAAAAGCAAATGAAAATCGGTATCCAAACCTTGCTAAAATAGCAAGAAATTTTTTATCTATACCTGTAACTAGTGTTGTCATGGGACATAGTTAGGATACTGATAGAATACTGATAGAACACTGATAGGACAGATGGGACATTTAGGACATATATGAGATATAGTTAGGACATATAGTTGGGACATATAGCTGGGACAGCAAATGCTTGGGATATAGAAAATGTACATCACTACCTGCAACAAGTGTTTCATTAGAACAAAGTTTTCAGCTTGCAAAAATTTAATTACAGATAAAACAAATTGTTTAGCAGTCAAAACAGTAAGAATTTGTATGTGTTTAAGATCATGGTAGATGATCCTTTAAATAATAATTAAATTATTATACAATATATGTATTTTTATTTAATTAAGATTTTATTTATGATTAACATTTTTTTTTATGATTAAGATTTAGATTTTATTTATGATTAAGATTTATTTATAATTAAGATTTATATTTAAGATTATGATTTATTTTTTTATTATTTTATTATTATTATTTTATTTTATTTTTATATTTTTTCTGATTTATATACATTATTTTAAATAAAATTATTATAAAATTATGAAATTAATTTATGATTGATTATAATGTAATGCATTTAATATCATCAAATAAAAACTGTTCTTTATGTCAAATGCAGTATTTATAGTTAAAATAAATAGGATTATTATTTCATAACAATAAAGTTTCAAACTGAAAGTCAGAGACAGATTGCATTGTTAAAAATAATAGTATTTTTTTAAACAATATAATACCATTCTGAATGTCAAAAGCATAAAATTGTTATAAAACAATATATTTTATTTTTTAACAGTAATTTGCAATTCCGAATGTTTTTATATATATTATGGTTAAAAAAACAATAAAAATATTGATTTTGTTTAACAAATATGTCATTCTGAACGTTTCAGATACGCATTATTTTAAAAAACAATAAAAATATTTATTTTTCAACAAAAATCTTATTTCGAACGGTATTGATATGCATTATTGTTGAAAAACAATAAAAAAATATTTTTTAACAAAAATGCTGTTCTGAACATTTTGAATGTACATTATTATTAAAAAACAATAAAAATATTGTTTTTTAACAAAATGCTGTTCTGAATATTTCAGATGCGCATTATTGTTGAAAAATAATAATATTATCATTTTTTTTACAATATAACGTTATTCTGAATATTAGAGGCGTAAAATTGTTAAAAATAATTATATTTAACAATATTACATAGTTCTGAAAGTTCAGATTCGCATATTTGTCAAAAATAATAAAATGTTATTCTGAATATCAGAGACATATTATTGTTTAAAAAAACAATAATGATATATTTTTTAAACAGTAAAACATCACTCTGAATATTAAAGACACATTATTGTTTAAAAATCAATGATAATATTGTTTTTTAAACATAAATGACGTTCTGAACATTGTAAGTGACATTATTGCTAATAAAGTATGTATAGATGGCTTATATTATTTAATAATCATAAATTTTTTTTTGATCCTTCAGATTCAGATTTGGATACGGATACAGATATAGATTCAGATTTGGATTCAGATTCAATATAGATACAGATACAGATACAGATTTGGATACGAATTTGTTGAATACAGATACAGATTCAGATTCAGATTTGTCAGACATCGGATTCAGATTTAGATTTGTCAGATTCAGATCGAATCAGATTTGGATTTTTCAGATTCAGATAAAATTGGATTTTACCTAAATCTGATTCAATCTAATCTGTGCAGAATACTATTGCTAAACAGATAAAATAATTAAAAAAAACATTTTGTGAGATAATTTAATGGTCATAACTATATAACTATTAAACCAGTATAATGAAAATTTATATGCACCTATTTTCGAACCCGCTAAACAACTTTACTTAGGATTCTAATGTCAATTACATTTGACTAAAGTTCTCAAATTGACTTTTGAAATAATTGAATAGATAAAAAAAATTACAATAAATTTACTTTTTTATATAAATAATCTTATTAGAAGTTAAAAAAAGTAAGGTGAAATTAAATAAATATAAAAAAAAAAATTTTTAATTTTTTTTTTTTATCATTTGTCCAATTAATTGTTTAAAAAAAATTTGGGGTCAAAATTGATTTTATATGTTGTCTGAAGTTGGAATTCAAATAGCAAAAAAAGTATCTGGAATTGGAATTTCAATTTCAGTTAACTGATCTTCGGATCTCGCCTGAAAAGTATCTGAATTCCAACTTCAGACGAAAATCAATTTGAGTCACAACACCATAACAGGAATATCAATTTTTCAAGAATGGACCTGGCCTCAAGATGAGAGAAAAATTGGATATATTTATGCATGACCTCTACTAGAGATTGGTATTTGGAAAGAATATTCACCTGACAAGATAGAAAAAATTATAAAAAAAAGAAAGTTTGAAAAGCCACATCCAAGTTATACTCAACATACAGAATCAAGCAAGCTATGGACCATACCAATTGTGGATAAACCCGGTAATATTATTTTTAGCTATACGATATCAAAAGTTATTACTAATTAACTTGTACCGATCCTTTAGTATGTATAAAATGGAATAGTACTGTTATTGCTGATTTTGTCTAATATCAATGATATTGTTATGAAAACCAAGTAGAGATTAACGAATCTGTACAATATAATTTACAAAGGTATTATTATATTTTCTTGAGTTGGTAATTGTAAAGGAATTTTTATTAAAATTTGGTTTATACAGCTACAGAATTTTTTTCTCTGGTTGGGCTCTAAAAGAAAATGAAAAGACTAGAACGCGTAAGCCAGTAAAAAGAATGACCATAGAAGTCAAACATTTATTGGAAATAATGTTTCATACAGGAACGGCAAACCCACGCCAAAAGATGAATGCACTGCAAATGCATGAAGAGTTACTACAACGAGCACAACAAGGTGAATTATGTGAAGAAGATGTACCCAAAATACCAACGATCAAAAATTGGATTTCAGTTTTTTTCGAAGGTGGAAAGAAGCAATGGCACTTCGTTCTATTGATGAAAATGAAGGTTCCTTGCAATAAATTAAATATTATTCTATTAGGAACGTTTGGAATTATGAAATGAGTGTAAAAATCAAATAAAGCATATATTGTATTTCTTGTGAATCTGTCATTGCCTCAAACAAATGTCAAAAAAACGTTTTTTGCAAAAAAAAAAGCACTCAATAATTTTTTTTACTTTTAGTTATTAGTTATTACACGTAGTCTGAATGGTCTGTGTATCGTGTTACTTTATTTTTTGTAACGGAGTAGCATTTATAATAGATCGGCATAATTTTGCCCCAAAATTATATAGTAAATTAGTGCCGATCTCTGGCGGATCAAGTCTTAAAACTTTAAATGCTTAGTAATTTATTAATCAAACATGACATGCAATTTTAGTTGAGAAATTATATTATAAGACAAATTAATTTTGCTTGTATTTTTTCTAATTTAATAATGAAAGTAATTTCTTCTCAAGAATTTCAAATGCTTTATGATGATGATGTTTGCTAAATATTTATTCATTCTATTAGGCAAGCTTCTTTTTTTATTTTGCAGGTTTTTTTTCCTTCGCCCTTGTTACTCGGCTCCGCCTATCCTTGAGATGCTGTAGTGGTGCTCGTCCCCGCCTGGTCTCGGGATGCTGTAGTGGTGTTGGAGGGTTGTAAAATAAACTGGCGAATTTTGACCAACGCCGTTAATATTGCTCGCCTTCCACCTGGCTCTGCAAGATTTAGAGCAGTAACCGGATCGTTCCCTATCGGCCATCTTAAAACTTGAACTTCTTCCTTTCGTGGTAGACCCCTTCTAATTTCTTTCCAATACCTTGCACTAATCTCACTCTTATAAAATGTCACATAGGATGAGACTACACGAACGGCAAAAATAGTTTGATTCGTAATTGTACGGGATCTACGTAAGTTTTCATGTCCGCATGCGAGTATCTCAACCATCATTTGTGCTTCACCAAAATCAGGTGCCGTAAGATTCTTCAAATGTTTGTCCTGTTAAAAATTAAGATTTTTGAGTCATCCAAAAATATGGCAAAAACAACCAAAAATATACAAACCTCTACAATTATCATAGCAATCTCTCCCTTATCCACCACAAATTCGGGTTTCGCTGACACATTCTTATCACTTACAGATAACTTATAGGATTCTTTGACTCTAGGTTAAATACGATGCGAACATAAGAAATCATTGAATATATAACAAGCAAAGGCACTTTCTATTATTGCTAACCTAACTGCTAAGGGCCAATCTCCGAAATCAATAACTCGAAGTAGAATATGGTTTATTAGTGTGTCGGTCTTAGATTCCTCTGTACCTATATCAACGCCCGCATTCACAACAACTCTGTGCAGATTGTTAAGGAACGTCTTAACGTGTCCAGAAGCTTGGATATTGTCAACATCGAAGTTTGGTCTCCGAAGCATGTCACTAGAAAGGTTGGGGAGAAAATATTCTTGGGGAATGTTTGTTGCTAGACGATAATATTAAAAATGGCAATATTTCAAAAATTCATTAATCTGGTCGTCTACAAAAATTAACCCTTGCGAAATGTCAGCACGTAATTATAAGTATGTCCAATAAATGGTTTATTAACATAGCGTATTTCTTACCTTGAATATTAGGTATGACTTCATTATCGTTGGAAGCCGGTACGAAGATCACATTTAATGCCTCCATATCTTCTTCTGAGTATTTAGATGCCATAGGAGGGAGATCCTTTAATTCATAGCTGGAACGGGAATCGCTACCAGAATTTATCCTTAAGGACTTGGTGGCTCTTGCAAGACCTGAGTCTTGTCTGAAAATACGTTCCGAATGTCGCGTAGGTGCAACAACTGGTGCAACTACAGTTTTTTGTTTTTTTGAAGCTTTTCGTGAAGTCTCTTGCGGAGTACTCTCACTTTCAGCTTCGACGGTGTTTCGTTTTTGTTGACGTTTTTCGGTCATGAGTAACACAACGCGACAAAAATAAAAGCTATTGTGAGACGGTGAGAAAGAAAGTAAAATTTTACTAGAGAAATTATATATCACGCATGCGGAATTTCTATGACCTTCCGTAGTACAGATTATCTATGTTGAATCATCTGGTGATCGACATGCCTAATGTGACACAATAATTTTTTAAAATTTTTTTATAGAAAATTTTTTAAATTTTTACTTTTTGATGTATTTTTTTTTGTAATATATACAAATTAAACTTTTAAATCAATAAATAGCTTAGGGTTTAATACTTTTATTTTAAATATAATTTTTTTAAAATACTCACTCAATTCAAAGAATCTTTACTTTTTAATATCCTTAATAATCAATAGTATTAATTAGAGTTTTTTTAAAATAAGTCTAAATATGAAAATAAAGCTAAAGTTAACAAAATAAATGACAATGATAATTTATATAAGGAATTAGTAATGAAAATAAACTAGCAAGTTATTCCTTAAATTGTAGGATTTCACAAGCAAATTTACCTGCTTATTTACTATAAATTCTTCTTTGATTTACTTTTATAAATATTATAAATAATTAATACTTTTAAAAAAAGTTTTTTTTTTTAAAAAAATTAATTTTATAAATATATAACAAATATTAATCTTTTAATTATATGGGAACGTTGTCAGTAAAATCACATTATAGATCATATGATTTATATGATTTACTATGTCTCATGACTTGATTTTACTGGCAACATTCTCATTGATAGAAGAATAGATTTTTTAAAGTTAGATCAATTCGTTACATTCGTTTATATATAAAATAATTATTCAATAAATTATTTTAATAAAAATTTTATTTTTTTCAATGAGAAAATTAATATTTATGCGAAATAATTTTTCTTATTGTTATATTTCTTTACTACGAATTTTATTATTTATTTAACTTTATTTGGAAGTTAATTTTCCTTTGAAATTTATTTGTATCTTATACAATTTATTAATTGAATATCAATTCATACTGAGCTTTGTTCTATTTTCTAATCGAACTCTCTATAAATTAATTATAAATGTGTGAAGTTTGCTATTAAAACTCATCTCGTAAACTTGATTTTTAATAGCGCAAGACCATATTATCCTGTTTGGAGTAGGCTTATCCTGTTCTACTCTTAATAAAAAATTTATGCAATTGATCGACCAATTAATACGAACATCAGTCACATAAGAACTAATTTAATTAAATCTGCGTATGTGTGTAATACAAATGAATCATATGAATTACAAATTAGAATGGAATAGAATTTCTGTTATGTAAGTGTATAACATCACTTTCATTATGTTATGTCATATACTTGCTAATTAGATTTACAAAAAGATGTTAATAATAATAAATTAATTCTTTCATTGCTCCCAAAACAATCGAACTTCTTATTGCATACATTTATTAATGAAAGGTAATAATATTTATCTTTCTATTTTAACCTTTAATTCAGTATTGTTAAATATAAAAAAAAAATACATTGTGCATTCAGTATAAATGAATTCTAAAATAAATGAGGCAAAAATAATTACGTAATTTGATTTTACTCAGAATAATTTCTAGTTATTATTAAGCGGATATATTGGTTAAGGGAAACAATAATAAATATAGAAACGCGTATTTACTGCAATTTTCAAAATTATGTTGAATTTTAATTTTGAGGGAATAGTAGATCGGCAGCAAAAAAATCGTGATTTCTTGATTTCTACCAAAGCGTATCATCTGATTTTTGTGAGAGTGTACTTATATTGAAATTTTTTTTTACAATAAATTATTTCAGAACTGTACTAATATTAT